CTGAGCCCACCTTGTGCCCCACAGGACCCCGGGTAGAGCTCTCATTTATCACCTCCTGAAGAGAGGGAAGCTTCTCCAGGCCTCCCAAGGGGCACCCTAAGATTAAAATGGGATTCTGAAAAACCACTTGCAGAGAGTAGTGGTGTAAAAAGTTTAATCAAAATCCTACAGGGACGCGGGTGGTACCTGGTGAGGAGGAAGCAGTTTCCTGAGGGACCTGCTTCATGGTCAGTGAAGTGAATCACATTCTGCTACATGATTTGCGCTGTAGAAAACCAGGAAATCCCTACATTTCCTGCATCCCCAGGATCAAGCCGTTGCCAGTGTCCTCTGAGGACACAGATGTGAAGCCCACAGGTAGGGTTTGTGTTGCACTGGAAACAAGACAATCGTCAAAAGTAGGAAATCGTAGGAAGAGCTTGACTCATACCCAGATTTCTCAACTGCTGTTTAGAATGTCGTGCCTGACCTAGGGCAGCAAGAGCTCAGCATTGTGCCATCTGAGTATTTTTAACCCCAAAGAGAACACGCAAGACGGGAAGTCTGCATTTCACAAATAGTTTATCTCTCAGGCATATTAGGGAGCAGAATGCAAAATTGTTAGAAGAGTACTGAGAAACCACTTCAGAGCATTTCCAGCAGAGTCCTGCTCTTCCGTCTGGTGTTTCATTAACAGAGCCACAGGCCTCCAGGGGAACGCAGCTGGCCTGTCCTCCCTGCTCAGCAGACTTGGTTTCAGTCACCACCAGCACTGGTCAGGAAAGCTGGCAGCCCAGGTGAGCAGGCAGCCTTGGTGCTGAGCCGCCCTGCCCTGGGCCCCCACAGCTCCGTCTAGGAATCCAAAGGCTCCTTTGTCCTGTCACTGACTTTTGTCTGGGAGCCAGCTGCAGAAACTCGGTAGGGAGGGCGCTCACAGTGGGCTGTGACTATGGTTTCAATGGCACAGTCCAGGAATATCCCCTTTTTATGCTAATTTCCTTCCTTTTCAAAGAAAAGGGGCCTGAAAATTCTGTGCTTTTGTACGACGATCCTTGTGCACTTAGCGAGAACAGATGGGAAATGGACACGAGTCCAGAGCATTCTCAGCATCAGCATTTCGAGACCTGTTGAATCCATGTGCCACAAGTCACAGCTCTGGAGCACGCTGGGGACACTTTCCTGGCCCCTGATGGTGTGGCCCTTGGCTGCCTGTGCCCAAGGACGGTCCCTGTGGTCCACTGCACACTCTTTGTGATGAAGAACTACATGCATGCTTCGAATGGACTCCAGAGGCTGTAGGGGCCGCACAGCCCTGCCAGAGTGCCATTCTCAGTGGTGTCTGCATTTCTGTTGCTGATGGTGCAGCTATGAGGGAAAGAGTTTCTTTGTTTTTGTGAATGGTGTGCATGATGTTTTTTTAATGCTTCTAAATCCCTCTCCCAGAAGCATTCACTCCATTCCATCAATTTCAAGGTCAGAACCACACAGCCATCTGAGAAGACCAGATTGGCCATCCACCCAGCCATCACTGCTGTGAGGCAGTCTTGGGCGACAGGCATAGACACGGGGATGTGTGTGAGTCGCTGCTGCTGGATTCTGGGCTGGGCAGAAAGGCCGCTGTCCCTTCCTGCAGGACAGCTCTCTTATTCATGTGTGGAAAGATGAAGGGGCTTCTCAGCTGTGAGTGGAACCGTGGCCCCAAACAAAGGAAGTGTAGACAGGAACTGTCCTGCTGTGCCCCAGAAGGCAGCTCCTGGGGCTCCGGCCTTTCTTCCTCCTGTCCAAGAAATCAGCTCATTGTACTCCAGGCTTGGTCTCGAGCCTAGTGCCGAGTGCCATGGTGCTGACTCTGGCAGCTCTCACAGCTCCTGGAATGGCCTGTGAAAGGGAACAGCTTTCGATCATGAACAGCGGTGCGAGCTGACTGGGAGTCTGCGACACACAGCCAGACCCAGCCACCTGTAGATAAGGACAGAGCGGGCGGGTGCATCACCAGTCCTGGTGCAGAAGGGCACCTCGCACCAGCTGGGTTTGGGCAGCGTGGTGGAGGAAGTCTCCCCTCAGAAGAATCATTTCTCAGAAGAGTCCCTCGCGAAGGACAGACTGAGATGGTCTCCGGGGTCTCCCTGCACCGCCTGTCCCATTTTGCCACCTCACCCTCATCTCTCCAGCCCTAGGGATGTTACTAACCTGAGTCGCTCAGAGGAGCCCGCATCTGTCAAACTGAAGTCAGGCAGTGGCCAGGACACTGCCCGGCAGCCTAGGTTTCACCTGAGCCTGATGGTCCCTCCCGCCAGTGAGGCTGTGGTTGTGAGGGAGCCTTGAGAGTGCCTTGGATAATGTCTTTTACACGGAAAAGGCCGTCCTGCTCCCTCATTCACTTAGGGCTCTGCAGCACCTTGGTGAGGGTGTGGGAGGGAAGTGTGTCTAGGGTTAGGGTAATTAGAGGAGGGTGTGCCCACCTTTCCACTGAACTTCTTCCAGAAGTGTTCACATGCCTGTCATGGCTTCAGCAGGGTGAAACCAAATTAGAGTTTTACTATGCTCGTGTGGTTTGGTCTAGGGAATCATATATATTGCACAACTTAGTGAAAGGACATATAATTTGTCTATTTTTGTAAAATATGTACAATTTTGCAAGCCTCCTTTCAGCTCTTTCACACAAAATCAAAAAAAAAAAACCCAAATAAATTCTTGTTGATAATCAATTTTGATTCCTTGCTTCATGGTTTTCATTAGCACTCAGTGGACTGCTATAGAAAATTAGGCAGAAGTATCTTAATCTCTTTCCCATCAAAGGAACAAACACCTGACACCTACAACTTGAGGAGGAGAGGTTTATTTAGGCCCACGGTTTTCAGGGTGGGGGGCTCTGCCCATAGCACCAGGAAGCAGAGCCAAGAACCAGTGAGCAGGGAAGAGCTGGGGACAAAAATACTCTTCAGGTCACACCTGTGACCTCCTGCAGCACATTCAGCCGGGAGCTCATCTATAGATTAATCATGGGTGAGCGCTGCACCCCGAGACCCAGTCACCTTCCCCAAATCCCACCTCTGAATACAGCAGTTCAGGGGGACACTTTAGGTCTAAACCATAACAAGAGATTAGTATCAAAGTTTAGAGAGTAGTAGTTGGTAAATATAAAAGTGGCTAATGTGGGCAGAGAAGTTTTCTAATTTATTATCAGTAGCAACAAGTGATGGTTATTTCATTTTTATCCTTTGATTTATGAAACAGTTCTTCATCTGTTACCTGTGCAAAGAACAAAGGTATTTCAAACATAGGTAAAACAAACAGAGTAAGTTGGAAAAGTTAAGCACGATAACCTGACTCACTTTAATCTTGCAAAAGTGCTTATTTGACTTCATTATACAAGGAAAGATTCCATCTTAGATTGCCTATCTATAATACTTATGAACATGTTAAACACTGTAGAAACCTGTATTACCTGTTACACTATTTTATCTTGCTTCTCCACATCTGTTGACTTCTCCATGATATTTCAAAGAGACACAATTAAATGCATTTTATTTATGTTTTTGTTTGGTTTGGCTTCTTCAAACCATTGCAAGTAAAACATTTCAGTTCCATTCAAACAGTATTTGAGAGGCTGCCCCTGCCAGCTACGGTACCACCTTCTGGAGATAGAGATGGATATGAACCGTTCTTGCTCCATAGAACACAGTCTATAGAGAAAGTGGGCATTACTACCATTAACTTAATCATTTACTAAAGACACTTGCATGGCTTTTGGATTGTGCTGGATATACCCTTCTAGCTGATTTGCAAGTATTAGGTCAAGTAAGTTAATTATATATAAGGGTTCCTAAAGAGGAGGTTGTTTTGATTTGGATTTTGCTGTAACTTAGTAGTGGGGAGCAGCTACCACTAGGGTGTGCAGGTTAGCACCAAGCGCTCACTCATCCTGTCCCGTGGAACTTCCTGGACTGGACAGGACAGAGATCCAATGCTTGCTCGCAGGAGAGGAGCACCTGGCTGGGTTTGAGATGCTCTCCTGTGTGTGAGTTGGTCCCACCCACATCATTCTGGGGCCATACTCGTCTGGAATTGGAGTGGTCTTTCCACTCCTCCTGTTCGTGCTGTCATTATCGCTATTCTATTTTGAGAGAAGTTACTGACATTTGGACATCTGTTTTTAAAAGGCACTTGCTGATCCCTATTTTATAGAATCTTAAGCACGGGACTTTTGAGATGACAATCTGTAAACTAACCTTTTGCTTGAGCAGTCTTAGGAAGGGCTTTATGTTTTTGTTTCCTTAAGCTCCTAGTCCAGTGATAGCTCTTAGAGCTTTCGACGACAGCAAATAGCCTGCTGCAGCATGAGGGGCATAAGTTCCCCACTACTGTCCTCATATAATTTTGCCCTTTGAAAGTTCATTAAATTCCTATTGCTTTTCAAGCAACTTCCTCTAGAAACAATATTATACACTTAGCTGCATAATTTATACTATGGTGTTGGGAAAACCTTTAGAAATTATTCTGCTTTAGTATAAACCTCATTTTACAGAACAAAATACACTGTTACTATAAAAGAGATACAAATATGAACATGGTCTGTGCCCAAGATTTTTACTGTGTTAGGCTCTCTTTCCATCCTGGCTCTTCCTTGGAATTTGTGTTCCTTTGAGCAAATTTAGGAAGATTCTAGAATATATTTTTGTGTAACATTCTGTTGGCTACCTAAAGTTTTTGAGTTTGTGTCTGTTGGTCATCTTTTTCCAAAATTAAACCCTGCATCTCGGTTTGTTCCTGATTAACCAGCTCCGGCCTGATGCTCATCTGGACTGAGCCACTTTCCCCTCTTTGGCCCAGCAATCTAACAAAATTCATAAATCAGTCACAGATTTTCCATCACAGTGTGGAGCACAACTCCAGCTGGGTTCGGATCAGAGTGTTACATACGTGTTACATGGGAAACTCGACTTTGGGAGAACGACCACACCGCTCTTCTTCATGCCGATGGGAGCTGTGAAATGTGCCCTTCATGTGCTCTGTGTTAGGTCCGTACTGCGGAAGTGTGACCGTTCCCAGAGAGCTCCTGCTGAACACCAGCGAAGTAACTGTGCACTTTAAGAGTGGATCCCACATCTCTGGACGGGGCTTCCTGCTGACTTACGCCAGCAGCGACCACCCAGGTATGGCAGAAGAATCCACTGTGTCAGAGTTCCTGTTGCTGTTCATCTCCTGCTCGGACAGAACTGTGGTCTCATGTGGGAAGTAAGATGTGAGGGAGGAGAGGAACTGTGTCCTTGTGAGTTTGGCCTGAACTGAGCCGTTCTATAGGATTGGTGGATGGGTCTGCTGACCTGTGTGGGATAGGGTGGGTCCCATTTTCCCTGGAAGCCTTGGCTCCCACATCTCTGGCGTCCCCTCCCAGCCGTCCTGGCCCCTCCAACTTTTTCCTTGCCCAGACCCTACGCCTTTCACCTAGGGATTTCTCCCCACAGCCACCCCAGTGCCCCACCACAGAGTGGAGAGGAGGCAAAAAGCATGAATATTGGCCGTAAGCAGTGGACCCCAGCCCAGCCACTGTGTACAGAGGTTCTCATCTGCCTAGGGCCACAGAGGGGCCACCCAGTGTGGTATCACTCACTGGCCTTGGCAGAAACACCTGGGAAGGAGAGGCACCATTCATTTCCTTTGTGGCCAGTCAATATGGCGAGTGCCCCATATGTTGTGCCTTAAGATGCTTGAAGTTTTTGAAGAGAAAGAACTATTATGGCAAGAATGGGTTGTTCAGCATAGGTTTGTCTCACGCATCCGCACCTCAGCTCCCCCCGTGTGGAGCGTTGGGTGACCTGTGCAGATTGCTCTGAGAGCACCATCTTGTAAGTGCTTGGGCCCCAGGGACCCAGGCTGGTGCGCTGCCAGCTCTGTGAATGCATGCGCTGTGTCCCTGGCTGCCACTGGCTAAATTGCTGGGTCAGAAGGTTCCTGGGAGCCTTTGCACTGAGCCACACTGGCTTTGGAGGTGGCTTTCCACTCTAATGATTTTTCACACATGATTTTTGCAGGTATGTAGTGGCAGTTTTCTGTTGGAAATAGAGTATATTATTGTTCACTCCATGGTAACATTGAGAAACCACCACTGGCAATAGGAAGCAGAAAACACAGGCAACTAGATAATGAATAAATTCTTTTAAAAGTTGCTTTTGTATTTAAAAGAAATATGTAACTATAAGTTCCCTAATTTCTACATAGTCTGCTGATTTGAGTTTTCTTTGTGACAGAATTAATAACCTGTCTGGAACGAGGAAACCATTACTTGAAGACAGAATTCAGGTAAATAGAGGGGTCCTGGCTGGGCTGTGGTCATGCTGCTGCTAAACGTTTTGTTTTCCCTCCTTTGAAGCCAGACCGTGCTCTGTTTGTGCTGAGTTTGTAGCTGTCTCATGTGGCATTGGATGGAGGATATTTGAAAGAGTTTCTTAGGTGGAAGAGGGCAGCAGGCTTCTTTGTCGTGGCCGATAGTCAAAGCATTGACCAACTCCTGTTAGAGTGAAAAAGCAGAGAGGTAACATGTGAGCGAGCAAGCCAGCTGTGCTCAGGCAGACTTCGTTTATTCACAAAAATAAGTCGAGGGCTGCATGTAGGCATGGGCCGTCATTGCTGCCCCAAGGCCCTACTGTTGCCAGGTGCCGTCAGAGTCTGCAGCCCATGTTTTCCTGACCAGAATTGGGGGGAGACTTTTGCAGTTCTTTCCTGGAAGAAGATAAGGGAGGATGTGTTTTGTCTTTCCCACTAAAGAAAACCTGCTAAGAATAATGAGATAAAAACTGTCATCCAGCCCTAGATTAACTAGAAAACCTAGATGATCTATTTGACCTGCCTTTCTCACCTAGAAAGTGAAGTAGTCCTGGGCACAATTCCCCAGCTCGCCGTGTCAGGGTTGGTGACTCCTCACTGTGCAGAACTGTCCTGAGAGAGGCTGGGTGTTCACAGCCCTGTGGGATGTCCCAGACCTGGCTGAGTGTCTTCTGGTATGAAAACGCCCTCCTCAAGACTGCTGAGCTACAGACTGTTGCCAGCAGCAGCACCGACCCAGCCTAGCCGAATCCAGTGCATTCTTGGTGGAGGCTGCGGCTGTCCTTGTTGGCACAGGGGCTGCTCACACGAGTACCCCATGTGCCCACAGCTGCTTCTGTGTTAGGTTGAGGACAGAGGCACAAAACAGCCCGCCCAGGGCTCAGGACACAGGGCTGAGCACCGTGGTCCTCTTGGACACGTGGACATGCTGAGTGTGACCGGTTTAGGTGCAAAGCCCGGCCAGCGTCAGCTAACGCTGAGTCTGGTGGTGAACAGGAGTAACCTTCAGCGCTGCCTGTGAGGTCACTGTTCCACACAGGCCTGCACCAGCACTCTCTGAGGTTACGGCCACACCGGCATACTCCAGAGGTGACAAGACCTTGGGCGTCATAGGTCACTTTATGTTCATCCAGGGGAAGGGTCTGCATTCAGATCTGCAGGTTCAGGCCCTCAGCCACTGTCTGTGATTCAGAGGCACAGGGAGCTTCAAAGGCATGGCAAAGCCCCAGTGTGCCCATAAACCCATGGCCAGCAAAACTGGGCTGTGAACAGGAGGCTACGTGGCTTCTGTGACTTGTACTTACTGTGACATGCACTTGTCTGACACGAAGCTGTTGCCATTTTCATTAAAGTGCAGACCCCATATGTCTCATGTACCTCATGGCACCATTCTGCCTCCCTGAAATCCAAACATCCTGCATCCCAAGCTCTGTCTGGCTCTGGGGAATTGGTGCAAAGGAACTGTGCACCCAGAGTAGGGGTCTGCATTTTTATTTGTTAATTTCTTGATTACTCTTATAATTCTGGGATTCCAAAGGTCACTAGGAAATGATTACAAAACATTTATTTGGATAGATCTGATAGCCGCTTGATAATTAAATTATTATGTTAGCAGATTAAATTGTTTAAGTCGACAAAAGGAAACTGAAAGAAAATGAAATAAAAACAACTTATTTTGGAATATGTTTAGGGCGGTATACTCTTTAAACAAACCAAGTTAACACTTAAAATGGTATATATACAAAGAAAGATATAGGCATTCACCTTCAAAGCTACCGGAGTTCCTTTGCTATTCCGGCTTTCTTTTTAAATGTTTTTCACGAACACGTACAGCTGACCCTCATATCCCTTATACCGCGACACTTGAAGGAATGTGAGCTAAAGAAAATGGGTCCAATAGGGATTACGTGGAATATCCATCGTCGCAGCTTCGAAGGTCGTGCGGAGCCTGGTCGTCCAGCCATCACAGAACGCCTTCAGCCACACTGCACTCCACGGCGCATTTCTGGGGAGTATCAGGAAAGATGACTGTCAAATAAATTGAACTATCATTTCAAAATACACCTTTTTTTAGGATTGCAAAGTAATTTATAGCTTACATTGATTAGAACCATCCAGTACAGTGAACACTGACACCATGTACCTAAGAAACAAGTAAACCGTGGCAGGTTCCTATTGAGACATGTTACGGGTGAAGACACATCCAGATACTGAGGCTGGGGGGGGCTCTCTGATAATCTTTGCGTTCATTATATGCAGAAATGAACAGAATTTGGACATATCGAATTAAATAGAATACATTTCTAATTTTGCCTCCTTTTTACTCCTTTTTACTTTTTAATGTGGCTACCAGCATGTTTAAATTTGCCTTTGTGGTTTCCATTAAGTTACTCATGGAAAGTGCAAGTGTAGCACCTAGAGCTATTGCAGTACATATAACACAAGTGAAGCTCCAGGGGACTCCCTTTTTGTCTTCTTTCTACCCATAAAAAACATACATTCTCATATGTTTTAAGAACTTCTTTTTATAAAAATGAGATGAATCATTCCTAGTACCTTAATTTTTCATAGGCATCTGAGTATCAAACTACATAAGGCAGGTCATTATTTAATAGAGTTTATGGCAAATTCTTTTTTTTTCTTTTTATTGAGGTTATTGGTACAATCTAGGTATACAATACAATTACATTCATCATTGGGATTCTGTACCTTTGCACAATAGGTCTTGATTCTCATTTTTCCCCTTGTCCCTGCCCTCCCTTCACCCCCTCCTCCCCTCCCCATTTACAAACACTTTATTTCCATTTTTTCAGTTTCTCATATTTTTCTCCTCTCCCTTATTACCTTTCCCCCACCCTTCCCACTTTCCTTACACCTTTAGCCTTTTACTTCCTATTTTACATTATTAATTATCTCATTAGGATCCTGTGTACTGTTGTAGTTTTTCACACCAAAGAAACTATTCGGTATTTCAGTTAAAGAAATCTCTGTATGAACATTAAAAATAGGGAATCCTAAAATAAAACTAAAAAGGAAAGTAAAAGAGAAAAGGCAATGATGTGACATCAAAATAATCCTTAATTCTGGAGATGAAAATGGTCCCTGAACATATTTAAATTGCTTCTCGCTCTTATAGTCTTATTCTTTTTTTCATTATTTAGAGAATACTTTATTAGTTTCTGTAATCAAACCCACGTAGATACGACCTTACATATTTAGTACGATGTGTTACCCCTGTACACATGGGAAAAAAATAGATTAACATTTCTAGACCAATATGGTTGTCCATTTCTGTACAATGCCAAGTCAACACAGTAAATTGGGATGACTTTTTCCAAAGTTGGCAGCACCGTTAAAGTTTCCCAAAATTCAATTTATATATATGTGTGTGTGTGTGTGTGTGTCTGTGGTGTGTGTGTGCGTGTGTGTGTGTGTGTGTGTATAGACTCATAATAGTATGTTATGCATCGATAGCAGCAACAGCTTTTCCAGGTTCTGCAGTCATCTGAACAAAATTATAGACATTCAGCGCATTCCATTAAAAAAAAACAAAAACAAAGAAAAGAATAATATCCAGACAACAGCAAAGTTCTGTTGCTGTTGTGGTACCTGGCACCATTTTTTCTATTAGCCTCTTAATCATCATCTGGAAAGAGAACATTCTAGAGTAATATCATTAAATGTAGCTCTGATAAAGCATGGTCCCTACTATGTATCATAAAGCTGGTACTAGATATTTTACATTCATAGAGGTATGGTACAGTACTGTCCTACATCAATAATACTAGATTCAGTTTTGGTTTGAAATTTACTTTGTCTGCAAATAAGATTGCTACCCCTGTTTTTTTCTGGGCTCCTGTCACATGGAGAATTATTTTCTATCTTTTCACTTTCAGTCTATGGGCTTCTTTTTGCACTAGGTGTGTTTCTTTAATACAACATATTATTGGATTTTGCTTCTTATTCCATTTTGCCAGTCTATTTCTCTTGATTGGTGAGTTGAGGCCATTGACATTGCTGGTTATAACTGATATGTACTGACTTATTATTGACATGTTATTGGCCTTTTGTTGACCCTTTTTACTTTTTCACCTCCTTTTAATTTCTAGCCTTGCTTATTTGATTTGCTTTGTTGGGCCTCATGGTGTTGTTGCCTTCATTGTCTTTTTCTAGGATCTTGTTTAGAATTGCTTGTAGTGCTGGTTTGGTATTCATGTAGTTTCTCAAGTGTTCTTTGTCGTGGAAGTGTCTTATTTCCCCCTCCATTTTGAAAGAGAGTTTTGCTGGATACATCAGTCTAGGTTGGAGGTTGTTCTCTTTTAGTACTTGAAATATCTCATTCCAGGCTCTCCTTGCCCCAAGGGTTTGTGTTGAAAAGTCTGCTGTGATTCTGATGGGCTTTCCTTTGTATGTGATTTGTTTCTTTTCTCTTACTGCTTGTAGTATTTTGTTCTTCTGTTGGGTTTCTGGGATCTTGATTATTATATGTCTAGGTGTAGATTTTTTTTGATTGTAGCTAGTTGGGGTCCTATATGCCTCAGTTATCTGAATGTCAAATTCTTCCCCTCTGTTTGGGAAGTTTTCTGTCATTAATTCTGCAAACAGCTTTTTTAAGTCATTTGTATTTTCTCCTGCTACTTCATGTATTCCTATCAGTCTTATGTTATTCTTCTTTGCATCATCTAGGAGTTGTTGGATCGATTTCTCATGATCTCTTACTGTTTTTAAGAGACCTCTCTTTTCATGGTCACTGACTGCAATCTTATCTTCTATATCTGAGAGCCTATCTTCGCATTCTTTTATTCTGTTGCGTACACTTTCAATAGAGTGTTTAATCTCCTGGATATCTGTTTGAATCTGTTTTATGGATTCCATTTCTTTCCTATGTTGGGCGTTTATTTTTTCCATTTCTTTCTTATGCTGGGCCTTCATGGCTTCTATCATGGTCCTGAGCTCATCTATTTTTTTGTCAGTTTCTGCTCTAGAGTCTCGAATCACGAGTTCCATTTTGCTCACTATATCTATGGTTATCTGGGAAATTATTTCTGTTTTGAATTTTTCCATAGCCTGATTGATCTGTTTTGTTACTTCCTGTGCTTTGAGTTCAGGGTGACCTGGTGGTCCACTATCAGTGTTTTCATCCTCATTTGCCCTACTGTTTGCCATTGGTGAACTGGAAGTCTGTCCTTGTGTCTTGCTTAAGTATTTTCTCATTTTAATTTTTGTTGTCGGATTGTCCTTGGTTTAATCTCTGGATTATTACCCAAATCTTCCTGATATAGTTGCACCCTAGCTTCTGTGTCTCTAACAACCCACAGACATTCTCATCTTCATAACATCAGAGAAAACAGCTCATCAAATCAACGGCAATGCTTTACCCCAACTGATACAATCAGCAACACATTAAGATCAAGCACAACTTGGACACTGACCACCTGTGGTAGTCACTAGTCTATCACCCTTAAATCATTTGAATTAAATTGAAATCAAGAAGCAGTCCAGAACATGTCTGCAGTGAACAAAGTTTTCAATATAGTATATTTACCATTTAATGGCACAGACAGAGCGAGGATGCAAGACCCCTGATCTCAGTTAGCTGATTGCTGAACCCCATGACGCTGACTGACCTCGGGCTGCAAGGCCCAGATTGAGTTCCCCAACCTTCTGAATGGTTGAACACCGAAACATTCTATTACACGTTTCCCACACCCTTTCTTTAAAGATGTTCAAAGTTGGGAACTCAGAAAAATACCCTTGATGACCACCTCTGTCTTTGCAGAGTGGGTCCAAAGACTTGCACAGTCAGGAGGTCTGAGAGTGCAGGGGGGGGTGTTATGGGGGTTCAGGGGTGCCCGCGCGGCTACCTTCCCGGCGCTTGAGCGATGGCTGCTGGGTCGGGAGCAGGCGTGGTTCCCCTTCCCGCGGTGGATCGGGGCCCAGCCTACCTCCCAGCGCTTGAGTGATGGCGATCGCAAATTCTTATTAAAACAAACAATGACTGTGTAAAACTTGCCTTTAGAATAACATTTTAGATCAATCTGTGTTCACAAATCATGTTTCTGACTTTTTGTTAAAGCAAGATATTCCTTCCTGCCTTTTCTATGGAAGACAGAAAAATACTTTTAAAATTTAAGGACAGTTTAGTACTTTTTGTTTCAGAATAATTTAATAATATAAATCTTTATTCTTTTTTTCCAGCAAGTTCTGCCCAGCTGGTTGTAGAGACATACCAGGAGACATTTTTGGAAACACAGTCAATGGCTACAGAGATGTGAGTGGCTGAGGGCAGTGGCAAAAAGTGGGTGAAAGGATCATGTGTCGGTGCTCTCCCCAAACTCCTCACAAAATAAAGCAGGATAAACAACTCTGCACAGAGGCACAATTCTCTAGACTTTTTTGAGGCTACATGAAATGAGATGAGTATAAAAATCTAGGGTTTCTATCACTCATTCCTTTTTGTAACATGCAGTTAGCATACTGCGTATGAAATGGAAAATACACACTTTTGCAACACTTACAATTATTATACCATTGTCAGTTTTCCGTGATTGTAACAAACACCTGAGATTAATGCACTTAAAAAGAGGAAAGATTTGCTCTGACTCCCACTTTTGAGGGCTTTGGCCCCAGTTAATTGGCCTGGTTTCAGGTCACAGGTGAGCAGCTCCCCTTGACTTTGGGGAGCCAAAGAAAGAGAGGAGCTGGAGGATCCTGGTTCCACAGACACCGTGGCCTCCCTCTGTCTGCCAGGGCCTCCACTTGAGGCTCTGCCCCTCCAGTGGTGCCATGCTGGGGACCAAAGCCGTGGCACATGGACACTGGATGTCGGGTCCATTTTAATAAGAGGCTATGGATCTGTGTCTGTTCTGATTTATTTCCTGGACTTCCACTGTGTGTGATGGAGCAAGGACACAAATCCTCACACGTCAGGATAGTGGCTTTGTCCAGGCTGGTGAATCAACATGCCTTCCCCCAACACGTCCCTCCATCCCTGTGGCACCCTGGGATTTTACAGCTCAGGAGACCGTCTGAAATATATTTGTTTTTCCCAGGAAATCACTGTTCTCAACTAAATGTCCTTTCTGAAGATATAAAAGTCTTCCCTTTATCTGTTTATAGATATCTATCTTGGAAATATTGTATTGGTTTTTTACAATTTTACATCATCATTTCAAATAGTTGGGTTTACAGCTTGGTTTATGGGAACTGGCTTGAGATAGTAGACATTGAAAATATATACAGTGGTGGAATTGTTCTAAGGCAGTGATGGCGAACCTTTTAGCGCTTTTGATGATAACAAACAGGCCTCTGTGGCATGCGTGCCACGGGTTCGCCACCCCTGAATGATATATATCTTCAAGCACAGGGAAAAAAAGCTTTACACATTTTACAGATTAATAATTCTCTGTCAGGAGACAAAAAACTTGATTTTACTTTTTTTTATTTAGCGCATCTTGGTTCTAAGAATGGCAAATTTTGTTGTTATTTTGCTTTTGTTTCCTTTTCCCTAGACTGCTTTTATTTATAAATGTGACACAGGATATCCATTTGAACTATAAATTATGTGAACCCTGAAATGATTTACATTGCTTAATTTGAGGAATCATATGGCCTAAGCTCTTCCTAAATGACTCTGGGAAGTTAAGTAAAATGTTGCAGTGCAGTATTTCCCCCTAGTGATAAAGTTCTTACTGTTTTCCTGTCCTGTACAAGAGACCTAAGAATGGTGTGAGTAAGAGAAATGAGGAAGCTGGCCCCGCGTGGTGTCCCCTCTGCTTCCTGATGGACAGAGTGTGCTTCCCGGGCCACACGGCCAGGGGTGCACTCAGCGATCTGAGTACTTAGCCTGCAAAGACCGCACGCAGGGCTCCGCCACCTCACCAACAGCACGGCACCATTGCTGTTAGAGTGATTCCACCCAGTGGGAAATTTTGTATTTTGAAAGTGAATCGCTTCAGAGGAGCATGATTTGTGCCTTTCTTGCAATGCTGACATCGTGGGAGTATTCGACAGTTACTGCTGCGTAACAACACTGCCACAGTCTCAAGGCTTCAACAGTTCTCACTCAATACCTCTTGTCTTCTGGGGGTCACTGCACTCCTGCTTCAGGGTCCCATGAGGATGCAACCAGGTGTACCCAGGGCTGTGTCTGCCTGAGGCTCAGCTAGAGATAGAAAAACACATCTCAGCCCACAGGGTGTCTGTAGCCAGGGCTTACTTGTTGGCGGTGGCACTGAAGCCCTGTTTCCTACTGGATTCCTGCTGGAGCTCTCCAAATAGCCACGTGGGCCTTCAGCAGGGCCACTTCCTTCCTCAGAGCCAACGAGGCAGAATCTCCTCTCCCCACAGCCTCCCAGGGAGAGAAGAGTCCTGTGCTGTGGTCTTGGGAGGGCCAGCACCTGGGCCACATTCTATGAGGCAGTAGGGAGTTCTGCCAGGGCCGCACCAGGCCAGGACCTCGGGTCATTTCAGTCTGCTCTGGGGTGCCTTCCCCATAAGGTTGGGCTCAGGTAGCATAGCCCCTCCAAAGAGCAGGACAAAGTCTGTTCTGTAGGTCAGGAGGATGGGGACAGGGGACGGATGACTGCAGGAGCCACGGAGGCAGCAGGCACAGTCTCCAGGGGATGCGCCATCTTAAAAGCTGTTATAGAAGACCGTCACCTCATTCTGTGTGGCTCCAAAAGGCACAACCCAGAAGGACCAGAGGATGTCAGTGACAGGAGGCCAATCTGGCTTGTCTCATACACACACACACACATACACACACGCGCGCGCGCGCGCGCGTGCTTGGGACCTGCAGGCCTCAGCCTCCCATGGAGCCAGCTCTGACCACAGGACCTTGAATCACCACAGCTGGTCCGTGTCCCCGCAGCCACAGCCAGCTAAGCAGGGACACTGGGCGGACACCCACGGAGCAGGCCCTGCTGGTGGGCCCTGGGCCACGAGAGCAGAGGAGGCTGTGGCTGCGATCACCTCCCTACCTGAGACCTCTGCTGAGTGCTCTGTGCCCCTCAGTGTTCCTGGTGGCCATTACCGTTTGGTTTGGTAGCTGAGAAACCTCCACATTACCAAATTAAGTATGTCTGAGAGGCTCAGCTTCTCGAACAGTACCTCAGACAGGTGCCAAGTCAGAGTAACCAGAGCCCTGCTCTTCTGCTGGACAAGACCACCTGCTTTTGGAGGTGTGTGCTTGTTGGACTGGGGCAGGCACAGGCAGTGTGGAGGCTTCACTGCCCTCTGGCGGTGGCAGTGCTGTGTTACTGCAGAAGAGAGCAGGCCCCACTCAGGGTCCTTGTAGGAGGGGCCACACTGGCAGGGACATCCAGACGCACTGCCCTGGGCTGTGGGCAACTGTCCCGTTGCCACAGAAACGAACCTGGGAAGTGCCAGCTCCGTCCTGGTCGCACTCGCAGGTGAGTGCTGACGGTGCCTTCTGTGTTCCAGACCTCTCTGCTCTGCAAAGCTGCTGTCCACGCAGGGGTGATCGCCGACGAGCTGGGCGGCCGCATCCACGTGCTTCAGCGCCAAGGGCTGAGTCGCTACCAAGGAGGTCTGGCCAACGGGGTGCTGTCCAAGGAGTGAGTACCGCACTTCCCGTGGTCCCGAGGCCCTCACTCTGTGCTCTGACAGAACGGCAGGGCGGTGCCAGGCTGCCGTCAGCCTGAGACTTGAGCACTGATCAGCATCGGGGTCTGCGGGAAAGGCACACGCTGTGGTGGAGAAGCCTGGCTTGCTGGCTGCTCCCACCTGGAGCCGAAAGGCAAGGAGCAGGTCTACTGGCAGGCACTTTGACGGCAGAGAATAAAGGCTTATTCCTTTTTGGTTTTATAATTTCAGTAAAGTCTTGGCAATCTCCCGTTTTGCCTAAGATACTGAAAACAGATGGCTTTGTTAGTGTCACTAGCCTCTTGGTTTGGTGTCATTTTGCTTCATAAAAAGAATGCACATTGGGTGCTAAAAACACCAGGCTTCCCATGCATCCAGATTCCCAGAGTTTGGAAGGTAGCAAGCTCCAACCATGGAGGACTGTGCAGGCTGCATTGTGGTGTAGGTGGCCATGCACACATGTGAACGGCCAGGAAGGAAGTCCTCAGGAGTACAGGGAGGCAGTGATGGTGCTCTGTTCCTCGGTCTCTCGCACTCTCTGGAAATATCTTCCTGAACTGTGACTGGTTTTTTTTTGGACAGGTTCCCACATGGTTTTGGTCCCAAGGGTAAGGTAGCAGAGAAAAAGGCCACAGGTATTTGGGGATCCAAAAGTAGAAAAAGTCAGGACTGTGTGTTGTCACCGACCAGTGAGTGTGACGTCTCCCCAGCCCCACTGTTTGCCCTCGCCCCTTCCTGGTCATGTGTTACTGCTGCAGTCCCCTAGTGGACTGTGAACTGCCTTATCTGGTGAGAGTCACACTGTGGGTGGTAGACAGGTTCTCAGGGAGCCAGCTAACCTTACTTGTCAGTTGGTCTGAATTCAAAGACTCCTGAAAAGGCAGTTGGATCATGGGGTGTTACACAAACTGTGGGTTAATCTACCCATGTTCACAGCTGGATGTGTGGTCAGGACATGGTCACTGGTTGTCTTGGAGGGTCACCCATGCTGGAGTTCCACCCTGCTATGCTTCTCACCCCCATGACTTGAGTAGCTCTGCTCCACATGATCCATCCCCCATGATCTTCCTGCCTTGAGCCATTGGCCAGGGACTGAACCCTCCAAAACTGTGAGCAGAATAAAATCCCTCCTCTTATAAGTTGAAGATGTCAGGTATTTTGTCCAGTAACAGGAAAGCTGACTAATACACCGACTTAGCACAGATGCAGTGGCCCCAATGTCCTTTTGTGGAGGTTATGCAATAATTTTTCTCTTTCTTCTCCTACTTTTTTGCTTAAATTTTGCATTATAGTTTAGCAGCATCATGGGTCAAGTAGGGATCCTGATGCTAGTCATGATGTTATTTTTATAGGAAAATGTATTCTGACTTCCAAAGGCTTGTTTCAGGGCTGGGGGTGGCCCAGGTGCACAGGAGAGGGGTTGGGAAGCAGTAACTGAGCCAGGGTGGAGCTGGCTGGGCCACTGTGGAGGAGAGGCAGGAATGATGGCCAAGGGGTCCTGGAGGCCTGGAGGCCTGGAGGAGCGAGGAGGGCCCTGGAGAGGATCAAGGCAGTGGAGCAGAAAGGGTGGAACTCCACCGGGCATGTGGACCCCGGGGTGGGTAATGGAGAGGGTGCTTCAGGTGCTCACTTCACAGTAAGGCAAGGGTGCTAAGTGAGGGCCACAGGGACTGGTCCACACTCCATGAGTGTGTTCACTGCCTACCACCACTTCCTGTTTACTTTTCTGGGTAGGATTCTTACCTGTGGGAGGACACAAGTGGTTTTTTGTTTGTTTGTTTGGTTAGTTGGTTTGATTTGTTTGGTTTTTTTGTTTTGTTTTGTTTTTTTAGTTTTTTGTAGTTCAGGCTGGCCTCAAACTCACGTGATTCTTCTGCCTCAGCCGCCCAAATGCTAGAATTACAGGCATGTGCTACTGTGCCTGCCTGCCTTTCATTTTTATTTTTAGTAGTAGGGATGGAACTCATGGCAAGCACTCTACCACTCAACTACCTCCTTAGGCCTTTTTATTTTTAATTTGAATATAAGAATCTTTCTAAATTACCAGACTGGTTTTTTGCTCATGATCCTCTCCTCTCAGCCTCCCCATAGGTAGGGCTACATGAGTGCGCCCCCTGCCCAGCCCTTGCTCTTTACATAGTACCTGAACATTCAAAGATGCCTTAATCTTTAAATTAGTGCCAGAGTTTAACAGCTTAGTAACAGGATGTCTTCAGAAACTAAAATCTTTATTCAAATGAATAAAATCTCTCTCTCTGTCTCTCTCTCTCTCACACACACACACACACACACACACACACACACCTTCTTTTCTCATAGGGATTTGTCTCCAGCTCTGGAAACAACATTTTCATCTGGGTTTATGATAAAAATGGTCCCTTATGCACTGTACATCCCTGGGCCCTGCCCAGCCTCTGTTCTTTTTGGCTCCTGGTGGTTTCTCCTATTGGTGAAACCTTGGGCAGGGCCAGGCTCTGGCCACACTGACAGGTGCTGCTGTCTCCAGGTAGCTTTGACAGTGACTCTCTCACCTCTGCCTGTGTATGTCTGAGTGCTTCTTGTGCAAAGAAAGTAAGTTGGTAAAGTCTGACTTGCACTGCTAGGTCTTAATTTGTTTCAAGAAAAATTATTAAAAGGATTGAATAAAAGTAGACTTTATTCTCTCAGTTACTTCTGTATCAGCTGGATTTATGTAATTTGAAACTCGAGTTTCTGTGCTGTGAAGTATATAAATGTAAACTATGAACTGTGGTACATAGTTCCTGCAGGACCTGTCTGGCTTTCTGGTGGTGCAGACGGAAAGCTGGGTTCCCTCTCGGGCCTCCTCCCACTGGCTCTGTGGCTTATGCTCCTACATTCTGAGCCAAGTGTGTGGGAGATTCTTGTGCTCTCATCCACACTGCAAGTTCCTGGGCTTAGGGAGTGGCTGGGTTCACCTGTGTAGTCTGTGGTTGTTGAACTTGTGTCCCACACAGGAAAAGCACAGGGGAACCAGCATGAGAACAGTGAACACCAGGATTCTTCCAGAGCTTGGCCAAGTGGGCCTGAATCAGAAGCTTGCGGGACAGGGACAGGGACAGCAGCCTTTGTGTCCCGAGACTGCCCTCCTGGCGCTCTCCTCCAGAGGTGCTGTTCACCAAAGCAGTCCAAGTGCTCGGAACGGAGCGGGAACATCCACACTGGTGCTGGAGAATCTAGGCAGATCTGTAGAAGCAGAGCCTTCCAGGCCTCTCCACCTGCAGACTCTGGTGGCGTCCTCCCCACAGTGGCTCTCCAAGGACATCCAGAAGCAGACCCTTCCTCTTCCATGGCAGAGCAGGGACACAGGCAGTCAGGCTCAGCGGAGCCTCAGGCTGAGCTGGGCCACACTTCCAGGGAGGCTCTTAGGGCAGGAAAACCAGATAGGGCCACTGTGGATGGCCCTCAATTCGTTCATGCAGCCTGCGCGTGCTCTGCATGTCAGAGCTGCACCCATGCTGTAGTTCTCTCAGGCAACAAGCGCTGAGTGCTGTTATGTTCTAGAGCCTTTCCAGGAATGCCAAGGATTGCAGTCTCTGACTGTGAGTAGATGAGGGATGGAAGGGAAAACCTTGAGAGCATTTTACACCTGGCGTCGCTTCAGCTTCTGATGGCAAGGTGCTCGCATTCTTGAACAGATTCTTTCTGGGTTCCTTGTGGTTCTCCCCCCGCACCTTTTCTCTCTCTCTGTTCCAAACAGCAAGTAATTCAAACAGAATAAAATGCGGTGCTGTCAGACTGAAGACCCAGAGCACAGTGGTGTCTCCACCTCTCTGCACTTCCTCCTGTGTCTAGCGCATGCGTGCTGTGCAGGGGGAGCCCACTGTGGAGCCCCAAGTCCCCAATCCTGCTCATGTTTCCAAGCGCCAGGGTGGAGCTGGCCTGGCCTGGGATCTGCTGTGTGCAGAGGGTGACCCCAAAACGGCACAAGCCGAGGGCTGAGGACAGCGGGGCCGGCCCTGGGCACCCTGGTCTGTGACCCTGGGTGCAGGATGTCTCAGGAGGATGTGGGACTGGGCCAAGGAGTGGGCTGTGGAGGCTGCTGGAGGCCCCGCACCTCTCGTCTCTCGACAGCCCTTGCTTCCGGCTGTGAACGGGGTGTGTAGGTGACACTGGGCCAGGCAGTGACCTTGCTGCTTCGTACATAGCCTGTGTTGGTGACCTGGGACTATGGTTTGCTCCTGGGGCCTCAGTCTTCTGCAGTTTCTCCTTGTACCTTGCGATGGTGGAAGCCACACAGGGATGACTCAGAAGCAGCACTCAAGGCCTGGCTGCGGCCTCTTGGTCTGGAAGCCTGGCCCAGGTCCCCAGCCCACCATGCTGGCGGCTCCCTCAGGGGTCTCGGGCTCACAACCTCACTTTCCTGCTCTCTTTGTCGTTGCAGTGGCTCCCTGTCTGGAAAGCTATTCCTGTTTACCTCCGATGGTAAGGAGCCTGCTTTCCTTAAGGCTGTGGTCGCTGCAGGTTCTTCAGTGGTAGCTATTTCTGCAAACTCAAGGTTTATGTAAAGAATTTTCTGTGACTTAAAAAATACACAAGTCTCAGTAGCATTAAGCAGAAAATGTCTTTCTGTGCAGAGTGATAGACAGAAAAATACGGTGTCTGTTTAAATTTCTAAAATGTAAGCCAGGCTTGGTGGCCCACACCTGTGATCCCAGCACACAGGAGGCTGAGGCAGAAAGATTGTTGTGAGTTCAAGGCCAACCTGGGCTACACAGTGAGACCCTGTCCCAGCCTCCTCAGATGTATTACAGCAAAGACACATTGCCATGAATCCCTTTGAGAACTGTCCCCTTACTTCAGAAGCAGCTCTCCCCTCATCCTTGCTACTATCCCAAGCAGTTCTGGACTCCTTTGTCCTGAGTGTCTGAGATATGATTAAAACTGTGGTGAACGCCACTGCTAAGCACCATATGATGGAAAGGCAGCTCATAAAAACATGACGCTGTGCCCTCAGCACCTCATTCACCAGATCTTGTACTGTGGGACTTCTAGCTTTTCCCCAAAGTCAAAATGACCATGCAAGGGAAACATTTTGAATCCATTCAGGACACTGAGGCAGCCAGGACAGCTCAGCTAAACACAGAAGAAAGGGACCCAGAGCTGCTGCAGGTTTGGAGAATGTTGGGCTTGGTGTGCGGAGCGCCGGGAAGGACTGGCAGAGGTTCACAGCAGTGTATCTTTCACTGTAAAAAGCTTTTTAAAAATCTAAACATTCATCGTATTTTCCAATCATACCTCGTATTATTATGTCCTTTTCAAACTTGTGCCAAAAGGAGTGAAAAAGGAAGGAACATTTAAGACAAAGTCCTCATGTTCAAATTTAAGAGAAGAAGCTTTTTAAGTACTACAGTTTGGTTTGTGGTTATCTCAAATAAGATGACTGAGGTCAGTAAAAGCTCCCTAAAAGGTTCAGTAAAAATAAAGGCTTTCAAGTTTCTCCAGCAAAAGATGCACCCTGTGGAAATGCTCTCCCTCAGCAGAAAGTAAAATATAGTCTCCTTTGCCCAGGAAGAGCAGTGGGTCTTTACTTCCTATTCCCACACTGCCTGGGACATGGCCAAGTTAGTGTCCTGAGGTGGATGTTAGCATGGTGCCTTTATTGCCTGCCTCTGTCTCTCTGTCTCTCCTCACAGCACTGGGGATTGAGTCCAGGGCCTTTGCACTGAGCTACATCCCCAGCTTCCTCCTCCTCCTCCTTCTTGTCCTCCTCTTCATCATCATCAATCAGTTTTGAGACAGTATCTCACTAAATTGCTCATGCTGGGCTCAAATTTGTGATCTTCCTGCCTCAGCCTCCCAGAGTGCTGGATCATAGGTGTGTTCCATCACACCTGGCTCCATCTACTCATTTTCAGCCTGGTCATGCCTTCTTTTCAAGGGCACAGACAATGAGAGCACTTCTCGGATTCTTCTTAAAGTAAGAATTATTGTAATCCCTTCAGAAAACCGTGCTGTGTTGAAATGGGGTCAGTTTAGAAAGTCAGCAAAGAAACTCTGGAGTGGAGACAGAATGTCAGAGACAGGGTTGGGTTTTGATATCTACTAAGACAAAAAGCAGCCAGTTTCCAACACTGTGGCGCAGACCAGCCTGGGCACGTGTGGTGCTTCACAGCTAATCGTTGGCGTTGGATCCGAATTGGGAGGGGCGGTCAGCCAATCCCTCAAGGGACCGTGCTTCCGCCAGCTCTGCACCCTGTCTCCATCCAGCCTGTCTCCTGCCCTTCTGTTCCAGACTGCAGCAGAGCCTTGAGCTCGGACCCCCGAGTGCAGTTCCGGGCATCGTCGTCCTGGCAGGGCGTCAGCAGCTCTGCAGAGCCGGCTCCCTGGTCTCCCCGCCAAGCCCAGCTGCAGGACGAAGGCCCATCCTGGGCTGCAGGCGACAGTGGCAGTGACGAGCAGCAGGCGTGGCTGGAGATAGACTTGGGGGAGAGAAAGAGAATAACAGGTACTTTGCTGGGCCGGAGCTCCTCAGAAACACAAGGCGACTGGCAGCTTGTGGACACCAGCCCCTCTGTCCCCAAGTACTTAACATCTTTCAGAGATGTTGCAGACCTGTACCTCACTGTGCACAGGGCCTGGGCCCGGGTGGAAGCACAGGTCAGGGCCACCCTCTGGTGTGTGGCCAGGGCCCCTGCTCAGCGGGGCGGGGCTGTACATGCAGCTACAGTGGCCAGTACAGCAGTCAATCAGGCAGAAAATAAGAGGAGCCTGATATTCTGATCCGAACTAACCAGTAAATGTTTTCTCATAAGGAATCAGGACCACAGGATCCACACAGCCAAATTTCAACTTCTACGTGAAGAGTTTCGTGGTGAACTTCAAAAACAGCTCTCAGTGGAGGACCTATAAAGGGGTTGTGGACAACAAGGAGAGGGTAGGAGGGGCTCCAGATCGAGAACCAGGCAGCTGTGGGGTCCTCAGGTTTCCACCCCTGGGCCTGGTCCAGCGTTGTACTCTGCCGAGGCAGGCGTGCTTCCTGTGCACACGAGAACATGAAACATGTCAGTAAGTCCTTAAGAGCCAGCACGTGGCACATGCCATGATCCCAGCACTCTGGGAGGCTGAGGCAGGACGATGACAAGATTGAGCCCAGCATGGGCAACTTAAGAGACTTAGTAAGGCCCTGTCTCAGAGTAAAGAAATTGTAGCAAGGGCTGTGCCAAAGCCCTGGATCTGACCGCCAGTACCATACACACAAAACAAAAAACAAAACTTGAGCGATCTTTGTGAGATGCCTGTGGCTCCCTGGGCAGCAGAAGTGGATGACTTGCAGGTCGGCCACCCTGTTCCCCAAGGGTGGGTGTGGGGTTGGGATGCTGCTGGGAAGTGGGTGCTGCTTGCCCTGTGCTCCTGCAGCTGCTCTCATCAGCAGCACATTCATACAGAAACGTCACCACCAAGCGAGGACAGGCAGTCATAGCTCCTCGGTCCAAAGTGAAATTAAACAGCAGAGCGGAGGCGCCCAGTAACCTGCTCCTGTGCATGGAAAGCCGCCCAGCTCTGGCTGGTCCTGGCAGGTGAGGGGCTGGGGACGCCTGGCGCTGCCCCCCGAGCCTAAGGAAAGCCACCTGCCTCATCCTCAGGTGTTCCAGGGCAACTCTAACTGGCAGGACCCGGTGCGGAACAACTTCATCCCGCCCCTCGTGGCCAGATACGTGCGGGTGCTGCCCCGGGCCTGGCACCAGCGGGCTGCGCTGAAGGTGGAGCTCCTGGGCTGCCGCGCCACGCAAGGTGGGTCTGCAACTGGGGAGCCTGGGCCCGGCCCGCGCACTGCATCAAGTGACGCGATCGTCCCAACGCCCTTCCTCTCAGGGGACGAGTCACCCGAGTGGCGAGAAGCAAGTCCAGATCCCGGGCTTTCGGCGGAGACTGAGAACGAGCTGCCTGCGCAGCCCGACGCCAGCCCCACAGAGGAGCGGCCTCCTCGGGGAGCAGGTGCGCTGTCCTGGCTTCCCAACGTGAGCGGCTCCTCCCAGCAGTCAGTCGCCTGGCGCTGTCCCGCTGCTGGGGGATGGGGGGAGGCGTGTGTCCACGCTGTCGGGGTAATGCTCTGGGTACCGCCTGTCCCATTGCTCGGGGGTACCTCAAGGAGACAAAGATCAGGAGCAAACTCCATCTTCAGCGGTTGGGGGTATTCTGTGGAAGAGTAAAGCAGCACATACCCATAATGAAATACTCCACAGCCATGGAGGGACCTGTATGTCATCCTCATACGGAAGTGTTCAGAGATGTACTGGCAACTTAAACAGGAAAGCGTAGACCAATTTAGATAGCCACTTGTACGATGGGGGGAAAGAAGGGGGAACACACATATTCTAGGATCTTTAAAGACTTGGAGAAACAGGATTTGGGTTCTTGTGGCGAACCAGAGAGGTAGGAGGGAGATACTCCATTCTACACCTTGTTATATTTGGAATTTTGAACATGTAAATGTAAACTACTCGAGGAATAACATTAAAACTACTTTTTTGAGAATTTTAGAAAATTCGGAAAGATCATAAAAATATAAGTAAGAAAATAAGCAGCCATTTGTCAGCCTTGACAGACGATCACCGTACTCCACTGTGTTCATCGCCTGTCTACATTTCTGACTGGAGAATGAAGCGGTGGCATAACCAGCATTCTGCACTGTGGTGTCGATTTCTCATTTACGGTGCAATGCCAGCGCTTTCTAATCTGGCCACACAGTGGAAAGGACAGTTATTAACATCTCTTTGGTAGTGGCCATTCTGTGTACCAGTCAGTCCCCTCTGTGGGTATTTAAGCTGTTAGGCCCCTCATTCCTTACGGAAGGTGGCTCCTGTCCGAGTCCCCACATCTCCTCCCTCGTGTGGTTTCCACACTTGGCTGTGTTGGTGCTGCTGAGCTGGCTCCCTTCTGTGATGCACGCATTTGGTCCAGCAGGGTGGAAATGCTCGATTCTGTGAGGAAATAAACCTACAGTAAAAGTCAGCCCTGAGAACTAGAAACTGCCTTTGAAAGGTGGAAAGATATAGTTTATCTTCCCAAAGGGCAGTCAGGACTTTGAATCTTCTTCTTTTACTTTCCGGCATCAGAAAGTGCCCAGCATGTATTCGTGATCCCTTTAAACAGCTGAAGACTGGGGCGGGGGATTTAGCTCCTTGGTTCTGCTCCCTGCCTCGACAGTGCAGTGTCCTGAGTTCAATCCCCAGTACCAAAAATAAACAGCTGAAGACTCCCCAGATCCACATTCAGCTCCGAGTCATGCACTCCGCTTGCCCGTGGCTTAGGTTGTAACGCAGCGGCTTTCATTCTTCCAGGACTAAATGCGAGTGCTGTGGCCATCCCGCTGGTCCTCCTTGGGGTCCTCCTGCTGGCGGGAGTGGGGCTCTTTGCGGCCTTCAGAAGGTACCCAACTGCAGCTGTGAGCAATCAACCCCAAACGCTTACTTTTCAGATACTCATTCAGAAAGGAGCGTGTCTTCCAAGACAATTGTGTGCGTTTTACAGACCAGTGGGGTAGAGGAGAAATGACCCAGTATTCCTGCATAAGCGCCGCTGCCCACTTAGCACCAGCCCAGGCCCACCCAGGGAGACCGAAGCCCCAGCCCTCCCCTGTGCAGTGGGCAGTGTCAGCCCTTGAGTAGCAGGCAGCCCATCCCGGTTGAGTGTGTCTGTCCAGAATTCTGGGCTCAGAGTTGGCTTTAAACATGCATTGTGAAACATCTGAAGTTTTCTCTTTCCATTTGTAACAGCTTCAGAACCCATACAGTGGATGCTGAGCAGATAGGATGAGGACTTATTTCTGACCTAAGTGAGCGCGGGGAGGAAGTCTCTGGTCTTTTAAGAGTGGGGCAGCTGTCCCTGAGTGAAGGCACGCAGACATTAGCTTGATGTGGCGCACTGGAGGACTCCTGGGCTGTGGGCGTGAGCGCAGGGGCCGAATTGCAGTCAGAGTGTGAGCTAGGGAGGCGATGGGAGGCGAGGCTGTGCCCTCTCCTAGCAGGCGCTGGGCCGTGCTACAAGCCAGGCACGCGGCACTTCCACGCCTGTGAGCGGTGCACTAAAGGCGAGCTCCGCCCTTTGCCATAGGGGCGCTAAGGAAGACTTTCCTCTCGACAGGAAAAAGAAGGCAGAAAACATGTACGCATCACCGGAGCCTCTGAAAACAGGTTGGTTAGAGCAGCCCGCAGCCTTATTCTGTCTCCGCGTCTCGGCCAGCTTGAACCCAGCTGCATCCCGAGCCCTAGGGACAGCTGGCCCGGAGCTGCTGGCCCAGGCCAGCTCTGCTCCTAGTGACCCCCAGGATGAAGTTTAATTCACCTTTGAGGCAAAGCAAGAGATTAGCAATAATAACAGAATAACTAGAACAACACACCAAGTAAAGCTACCCGTGCCCTAATCCTGTGCTTTGGGGCCACTGTTGAATGGAACGGGGTGGCCCGGCCCCGTGACCCTGCAAGGCCACAGATCTGGTCACTGGGGTGCTGTGGTCCACGCGCGTCTGACAGAACGCACGAGTCACCTCTATCTGGGACTTTGCACCTGATACTTTTGGACCGCAGCTGACTGAGGTCCTTTGCCTTTTGGAGAGTGACCTGCAGCGCAGCAGGGACGGCTGCGCTGAGTTTTAAGTAAGCGCTGTACCCCGTAAGCTCAGGGCACCCCATCATTCCGCAGCTCCACCTGGCGCGGAGGTCCCCGGCTTGTGTCCCCCAGGAGAAGCTGCCCCACCGTGCTTCCCAGGGTGGCCCGAGGCCCACGAAGAGGGCATGGGCGCCGCTGGCGCTGTGCTGAGCTGTCTCGGCCTGTGACTCCCGCGCGCGTCGCTTCCCGCGGGTGCTGCTGACTGGCTTCGTGTTCTGCTTACCCCAGGCTGCTGGAAGCAGATGAAGCCTCCGCGGCCCAGACATCCGTCGGCGGCCGAGTTCACCATCAGCTACGACAGTGACAGCGAGGAGACGCGGAAGCTCGGCC